TAGCAATTAACCGCAACATGAAAATTTGATACCGGCATATCCCTAGTCGTCACATGTGGTTGCCGCAAACCCGCCAGACACTGGGTTTTAATGTTTTTGTCTCGTCGCTCCGGCCGGACAGGGCATTACAGTATGGTAAGGGGCGTAACATTTCCGTCACACGCTTGAGGAAGCTTATTTATTCAGCTTTCAGATGATGTATAAATCTCAATTTCGAAAAATGTACCCTTATGACTGGTTTTGTGGTCCAGGGTCACATATACATCAATATATAATATGTAAATATTGATTATTTATTATTAAATAATTTTTTTATTTATGCATTTATTTCTTTCTTTAATTCATTTATTAATTTTTTCGAATATCAAGATTTTAAAATAAAAAATAGTGAATAGCTATGAGGGTCTAAATGCATCCTGTCTGCTTTTCTTGTCTTGTCATTGACCTATATCAAAATATTGCTATCTGATACCATCCCTTTACTATGGTAACGCCGCAGTACACACCACTTGATCTCAATAAATCTGCCTGTTTATTCATAACCTTTTCGTGTTATGAACGATGGCAATTTGAAGCATGACATGTTCTGCGGAGCATGCATCGTGTTCCTGTAATGCTCAGACAGCTGTCGTGTTGTGCAACAGGATAAGTATTTTCCATTGACTGGGTCAGCAGCAACAATAAAAAGAGGAAGAGAGGGAGGGAGGGAAGATAAAAATAGAGGTGTGTGTGTCTGCCAAAGAAAGACATGGAATGCAGGGAATGATCACCCGTCTACATGCTGCTGCTATATTCAGCTTCTTGCGTGTGTTACTAGATGCAGCCCTTTAAGCATGTGTGTTTGGGTTGCTCACAGTGCCAGATAGTGTGTTTGTCGCCGGCGGTGTGATTCGATAGTGTGTGTGGTGTTTATGAGTGTGTGAATGTGTGTCTGAGTGAAGGAGAGATAGCAGAGAGGAATTCCAGCCCCAGTGACTGGAGACAAGCTGCAGCTTACATCATCTTTCTCCAGAGCCAGTAAGAAAGCAGAGAGCCGCTACAGAGACAGGCTATAATTGGCTGCTCACTCAGATCTGACAGCGAGAAAGGGAGATAAAAATACGAGCTGAAATACAAGGAGTGAACACTGCGATACGTCTGGGGACTATTGTTATTTGTGACCCTGGACCACAAGAACATAAGGGTCAATTTTTAGAAATTTAGATTTATACATCATCTGAAAGCTGAATAAATAATATTTCCATTGAAAAAAATCTAAAATTATTGCTACAAATATACCCCAGTGACTTAAGACTGGTTTTGTGGTCCAGGGTCACATTTGACTGGCTTCCATGAAAAAAATTCAGTTGAAAAATAAAATTCTGTACAATAATAAATAATAAACTATTATATTTTTTGTAAAAAAAAAAAAAATCATGTCATAAGGCCCTTTTATAATATAATATAATAATATGACAGTGCCTTGTGATATTTATTTATGTATTTATTTTTATATATTTATTTATTTTGGACATGGTTTATTTACAAAAAAAAAAATCAGTTCTGCGTTTATCTTGTTTATTTAGCCTTCACAGGTTAAGATATGTTTCTATATAAAATAAATATTACACTCCTATTATATTATAGTATATTATATATCTGTCTGTACAATACTCTTCAAACATTATATCTTATTATATTATAAAAATAATAACATATATACTGTGTATATATATATATATATATATATATATATAAAATTATAATTAAAAGTAAATATATAAATATAATTAAAAAATAAATCACACAATATATATTAGAAAATGCATAGCAACATATTAAACAAATTCTTCAACAGCTTTGGCCTAGTGGTAGGATCTTTCACAGTCAAGATCCACTCACATTTGAAGAAAATAATAACAAATATTAAAATAGAACTGCTTAATTGAACATAATTCAAAATAATATAGTAACTCGCCATATAATCTGGCACTAAAATAGTTCTGTTGCACTTTTGTGGTCTTTTTAAGTAGATAAATCTGTGTGTTTTAGGGATCTTCAGCGTGCTTTGAGTGTAGAGGACGTGGGGCGGCCCAGTGCGGTGCGTCCGGTGGGACGCATGGCCCAGGCCTTCCCTGACGGCACCATCCTGCTGGAACTCTCCAGGCCCCCCAACGGCCCCTTCGGCTTTCTCATCTCACGAGGAAAAGGCAGGCCAGACTCAGGTGAGGGACCTCCCGCTCTTGTTTTCATACACTTCTGACTTAGTCGGAAAGTTTAAGACTAACCGGCTTTATGTTTAAGGGGTGTACGTTGAAGAAATGGGCGACAGCAATATGGAGAAACTCTACGCAGGGCT